GGTTCTTACCCCATAAATTTATGTCTATTATTAGATCTGTTTCTCCAAGTTGTATCAGTTTCCTTTTATTTTATTTTCTTGGACCAATATTGCAGCAACTGCTCATACCAACTATGGTAAATCTATTTATACTATGGGGAAGGGCACCGTTCTTAACTGAAGCATAAATAGTGACACATAAGCTTCTGGTGAAGGAAGGCCCATCAACACAGAGAAGGAGGCTTCCACTGTGAATCTTCCTTCTGCCCTGCATGCCTCTTCTTAAATGTCCCCAAGGCTTTTTCCCAGCTGGAACTTGCCGGAACTCAGTTCTGTAGCCTATCAGGTGGGCACCATTGCCATTCTAAGAGAACTTCCTACTGGTGGGGCTAGCACTGCATCCACAGCCCAGATGTACATGGTGGAAACAAAAGGTGCAGGATGGCTTGGCCCAGATTGGGCCCAACACTAGGATATGATGGCAGTGAAACCAGCTCAGCCCCACCCTGCCATTTTGGGACCTTCTGATAGCTTTGTTTGGCAGCTAGGGGAGGCTGGAGGGACATTGCTATCTAATCCAGCACAGCGAGGGGTATAAGCATTGGATTGTTTTGTCCATATTGAGCAAAAAAGGTTGACATGTTGTTCCCAAACTGAGATTGTGTTCACATCATGAAACTGGTAATTATTTATTGGGGCGGAGGCCTCATGCCAATCCATTCTTTCTAATGCTTCAACCAGTGATAGCTGTTGGCAAAGCTGACCACAACAGCCATTTATCTGACAGGAGATCCTCACTCACAATAGCATGCATGTGCTGACAGAGAAATGTGCAAAGATCTCTGAAACAAACAAACATGTGCTCCACTTTTAACGTGTTTTAATATTGTTGCTTCTAATGTCAGGTTATATTCCAATGTATTTCATCTCTTTTATTTGTGAGCAGTTTTGAATACACCAGAAATAGTGAAGTAAAATTCATTTTGTGTGGCCGAAGGATATTACATGTTTTACATGCACGGAACTTTACAGAGTAAGAAGACGAAAGCTTCTGTCCCTGAAGAGCTTACAAACTGCGAGACAATAGAGAGATTAAACAAGGGGAGAAAATTGCTTAGATCCAGGGTTTCTTCTATTAATGGAAGGGGTTTTTATCCAGCAGAGACTCCCAGTAGTGAAAGGGAAGGAGGTAAGTACCACCTATTTTCCTTTCCCTGTAACCTCAAACACAAAATAATGGGTTAAAAAGAATAACGACAACCTCTATTCAGAGCCACTGAACCCCACTGCCTACATCAGGAACTGGACTAACCTGTGGCCCTGCAGATATTGCTGCACTACAACTCCCGTTATTGTGGACCATTGGCCATACTGCTTCATGGTTAATGAGAGTTGGGGACCAATATTTGGAAGGACACAGGTTCCCCACTCCTTGGCTGGAGTATAGGACTTGAAAGTGGGAAACACAGACTCATGAAGCACTCAGGCTAATTTTCTAGCATTGCTGAATTGCTGCTCTAAGTTCCTTGGAGGCAGTATGGCATATTAATGAAACGTTTTGGAATAAATAAAGCCAGGAGCTCTGAGTCTGTAAGAACTGAGCATGTTCACTGGTGACAGAATGTTGACTGACTTTTGGAGGGGAGGGTAGAAAATGCGGGGCGGAGGATGGAATGATAAAAGACATGCTGGCACTCTGAAAAGGAGCACTCCACACAGCAACATTCAAAGTCCCACTGAGAAAGAATATTTTGGAATGATTGCCTGAGAAGTCCCAGGAAAGAGTAAGGGGGTCCATGTTCCAGTTTACATACTTCCCTCAACTGTACCATTCTTAATGCCAAAACTGCCTGCATATGCGTATTTATTCTTGTTGGTGCTGCTCGTCATAGAAAATGTTGAATAGTTGAGCATATTGCCCTCCTGTGGTAGAGCCACAGAACAGCCTCAGGCCGGGAGAACTTTTGAAGTGGGGGAAAGGAAGCTGTTCACTCTGCATAAACGTCTGTCTCATACTGAGGGAAGAGAACAACTCCAGATAGATGTAAGCAACCATTAAAGACCAAACTGTGGAAGGCAGTAGAATACAGGAGTGCCTGGCATGCTCTAGTCCACGGGGTGACGGAGAGTTGGACACGACTAAACAGCTAAACAACAACAACAACGAGGGCCTGTGAGAAAATCATGCTCTTTGTGTGGCCAGAACGTGCTGGAGGACATGTGGAGGGAGCCCAATAGTGCAGATTTTCCAATGTACTTGTATATGCAGCACATGGACTGATTAGGAAGCACCAAAGGCCCTCAGTCTGGAAGCATTCAAAGTATTTAGTGCCCCATATAATTTGGCCCACCAATGGGGAAATAGGTAAAAGTGCTTTTTCTTGTCAAGTACAGGTTGCTACTGTTGGGCTTTTTAAAAAAGTGCTCCATTTACAAAGACTCACCCTTTTCAGAGGAGCAGAGAAACGTAGCTAATTAAAGATGTAAATAAATGTACATCTTTTGTGTATTTTCCACAATTTGGGTGGAATAAATATGTGTAGCAGCTAAAGACGAAAGGATCTGTCAGTTTCCATCCTCTTTCTCATTTTCCCCTTAAGTCCAGTTCTCATGAAAATTACATTTTCAAGAGATTTTTCTCCCAACATACATATTTTTATATGCAGTTTTGATTAACACACACATTTTTGCATGCAATTTTCCCTGATATCATGAGTTACTGTATGTTATTTTCACCAACATCTTCACTTTTAAGCATACTTTCCCCTAACATATGCATTTTTGTAAACAGTGGTTGAGGAACTGCATTGTGAAATTCGGGTAAGAGAGAAGGATGACTGTGCTTCTGTTCTCTTTTGAAAAGTGCAAATTTGATAAATTTACTGAACTGAATTTCTCCTCCATCCCTAGTGGCAGCCTTTACAATTGGTTGTGGCTTTTAAATTCACACCTAAAAATCACTGATAATACTGAAACTTAGCCCGACCTTTGCCTCTGCCCAGATTATAGAGAACAGTTATAACAATGTAACACTTCCCAACCCATCCATTTGTCTCAGTCTGCTGACTAGAACAACAAAGAATCTTGCCGAATCTTAAAAGACAAACACATTTAATTATGGCACAAGCTTTTGTGAACTAGAGTCCACTGCACCAGATGCACAGCATGATCCTCAGTTGGTGGATATAAACAAATGGGTACATAGAAGATGAAAAATTTAAAGGCACCGTCCGTTACATGGCAATGAAGTGCAAAAAGCATAGTTGGTGGCAGTTCAATTAGACACTAATTAAATTCAAGCTGCTCAGCAAAGGAAAAAACGTTCCTTTGTTTACACAATTTTATTTCAAAGCAAGCATTTGCAGAATGACTTGAATAGAAGCTAGCCTACAAAGGAGGCAAAATGCTGGTGACAGGAGACAATCTCAGATGCATTGCTCACGACTAGAGCTGAAAAGCTCCTGATTGGAGGTGAACTATGTGGACTCGCATTTGGCACTTACGGCAGGATTCTGGAGCTCCTGAGTGGAGCCAATCCCAGTGCAGCTCACAGTTGAGAGAACACTTGAGGCCTCCAGGTTACTCCTTCGCTGCCTTGGTGTTGTTCATCCTACAACTGACATCATATAGTGCCAAGTGTGGGGCAGATAGCCATGGCTTGGGAACAATGTCTTCAAGGGCCAACTGAGGACTTCTGCCAGGAGTTTCCCCATGCCTGAATTAGAGCTTAAGTGTATGCAAAAGAAGCACAGCTACCATTTACAACAACCATGTACGTTGGTGGCAGCATAATTCTATTAGCTTCCAAAGCAACTACTCTCTTCCGAACTTAAAAATGGTAAGCTTAATGCTGGTGGTCAACAAAAGCGGTTCAAAGGCTCTCTCAAGGCAAGTCTAAAAGAATGCAGCATAAACACTGACAACTGGGAAACAATGGCCTGCGAGGGCTCCAATTGGAGAACAGCCTTTACCAAAGTTGTCATGGACTTTGAAGAAGCTTGAACTCAGGACGAAAGGGAGAAATGTGCCAAGAGGAAGGCACATTTGGCAAGCCCCCACCATGATCAACTCTCACCCAGAAATCTATGTCCCTACTGTGGAAGGACGTGTGGATCCAGAATTGGCCTCCACAGTCCCTTACGGACTAACTTTTAAAACCGTGTTTATGGAAGACAAATCTTACTCGGCTATGAGTGATCACAGAAGAAAAAGGAGGAGGAGGAGGAGGAGGAGGAGAATTATATTAGGATTACTGGTTAAATTAATGGTAAACCACTTAGGGAGTTTATTTACAATTAGGCGACATACAAATTTTGTTAAATAAATATTTGTATTTATTTGTAAAATAAATGCTGGCTGGGGGAGAGGGAAATTGTAGTCCAAAACATCTGGAAGGCACTAGGTTGGCAAACACTGTATATCTTATCTGCCAACTAAAGCAGACAAGCAGAGATATTTTTCTTTTTAAAGACACTTTATAGAATAAAATGTGGGCTTCATTTTGCGATGGTATGTCACTTTGATTAGCAAAATTAATATTTTAAAGTGGCAAACAGTTGCCATAAAAAAACGAAGCCCACATTTTATTCTATAAAGTCCTGGAAAAAATAATGCTTCAGAACTTGTTTGTGTTTTGTTGTGTTCAAACGCTCGTGAAATGTTGTGTCCAGAACACCTGGTGGCGCTGTTTCACCAGGCGTGCATATTTCTTTTCTTCTGTTTGAGTTAAATGATTCTCCTGCATCTCAAAGGGGAAAGGGAATCTTTATGACAAATGATAATCTCTCCCTATTTTTTTTAAAAGCAGTACCAGCAAATCTAACCAGCAAATATGTGTTGCTCAAAAGGACTAGTATCTTAAAATCAGTATTTTTTCAATTTCCAGAAAAGGGAGTGGGCAGTACAAATACGCTAGTGATTTTTTCTTTTCTTTTCAGCAAATATTACAGGCCTATTACAAAGCTATCAGAAGCCTCTTCTTTCAGTAAGTATTTGACATACAGTACATTCTGCAAAACAACTCCGGAACATAGCTGTATCTTTATTTAGTATTTATATTATTTCTTCTTTTTTTAAAAATATACATGCCAGTTGTTTCACTTTTAGTGAATCCACTATTAACACAAATAATCCACTATAAACAAAAATAAAGTAATTCCAGAACACTTAAATGGAATTGAAAAGAGCTGTTGACGTTGCATGTGCGTCCATTTACGTATGGCTGGCAGAATGACTTTAATAATATACAAAAATTTTCCACCTCATTCATGTGGATAACAGGCTGGGAGAAGATGTTCTCTTTTGCTATAGTTGGTCCATAAAATGTCCCTGAGATACAAATGTGGCAGAGAGTCTTTCCAGCTCCCATTTTGCTCAAGCATCTTCAAAAAAAAGTATCTTCCAGCATGATTAAAACATTTACTTTGTGCAATATAGTTTCTTTCTTTCTCTCTCTTTCTGTATAGAAACTCACATTAGGCCTTGTCCAAGCTTGGCAAATAAGTTTTTAGCTGTAATATGTCGGGTACAGGCTGTTTTCTGTCATGGTAGAAACTTAGTCCCGTAAGAAGTTCCACATCTCTGACTCGGGTTGCATGGAACTTAATTCTCTCTTCCACCCACGAGGACTCAGGCTTGCCATTCTGTTGGAGCAGAGAAAAAAAGGTTGTGTAAAAGATTGCCACAGAGTGTGCCTGTCTTATTTAGGGGGGGGGGAATTAGGATTACTCACTGCGCAGCTTTCACTGTTGTCTTCTTTGTGAGGTATAACATAAGATGCAACGTCAAGAGACCCTTCACATTGCCAAGGAGTCTGGGAAATATTTTTACAACTTGTCAAGATAATAAAGTAGTGAGTTGGAATGAGGACTTCTGGATTACTTGTGAGCCTGGAATAAAAAATTAAAAAATCAGTATCTTGGACTTTGTCCTTGTAAGCTTTTAAAGTTTTGTCACACCACAATAGAATGGACAGTGGAATCGACAAAACATTTAAGCCTAAACTATAACATTAAAATGGTTTGATCCTGCTAAATGCAACCTACCAGAAAGTTCTGCTGTGAGAAAACATTTTTGAAATGAATCATATAGGAGAATTTGCTGATGGATCAAGTCCCTTGATGTCAAAGGCATGAAATGTGTTTCTTTGGAAGTAGGTTTCCTTTTTTTTTTAAACTTTACTTCCTCATTTTAAAGAGAACCTACTGAAGCTTACCAGTTAATGATGCTGTTAATGAGTTACTTCAAGCAGAGTTCATGATAAGTCAAAAGAACTCTTTGGAACCATGAGTCTAGTTAACTGGAAAACTAGAATTGTTTTCCTAAGGAAAGCTTCGAAAGAAAGAAAAATTACAATAGCAACTCAGATGAAGGATTTGTCGAAATGATAGTAGGTATCTGTGTAGCAGATTCACAGGCTGTATTTGGACTGAATGCTAAATCTTCATTCAGCACTACATGAATGACTGGGCTCCTCTCCTTCTCTGTTCCTCTCCCACAAAGCTGAGCTGCAGTCCAGAAGTAGCTGCTTCCATTTCCCCTTAACTGTGGTTGCTAATTAGTCAGAACCAGGGATCCTATGGTTAGTGTAGGCTTACTTTGAAACAAACTTCAGTCAGCATTAAATCATGTTCCCTGATTCAGACAAAACAAAACACAGTTAAGGGAAAGTGGTAATGAAATCTTCCAAAAAAATTGTGGAGACAGAGGAGGGGGAGTGTTCAAGCTTAGGAGGGGCTAGGCTAACTTTGCCCACTGTATTAAAATGGACATGTGTTTTGTATTATTAATAATATAAAGTAATATAAATTATTAATTATAAATGCACATACCTCAGGTTAAATGTGCTTCAGGTTGAGCGTTTTCAGGTTACACTCTGCAGTGACCCGGAAGTAACAGCGCGTGGTACCTTTGGGTTTTGCCGCTCGCGTATGCGCAGACGCTCAAAATGACGTCGCACGCATGCACGGAAGCAGCAAAATGCGACCCACAGACACACAGTCACGTCTTACGTTCTACTCTGAATGCAAACGGGGCTCTGGAACGGATCCCGTTCGCATCCAGAGGTACCAATGTACTGCTTAAAGTCAAAATAGGCTTTCAAGTAGTTCATCAGTTATAAAAAGGGGGAGGGGAAGAGTGAAAGGAATTCCTTATTAACATACATTGATATACAAACTGAACCAATCCACAACTCCCAAACTACAGTCAACAGGTTTACCACACCTATCAGCCAATTGCCCATTCTCACCACCCTTCTGAGTAATACCCCTCCCCACCCTCTCACTATATATAAGGGTCTGGTGACTTCTGTTTCGGTGTATCTGAAGAAGTGTGCATGCACACGGAAGCTCATACCAATTACAAACTTAGTTGGTCTCTAAGGTGCTACTGGAAGGATTTTTTTTATTTTGTTCCCAAACTAATGTGAGGATCAGAACTTACTTTATCCACCAACATTCATACTTCATACAATTCTTGACTCAGAAACCGTATCAGAATATGTTTAAATACAAATTTGGGAGGCCATAGAAATACATATTTTGAAAGAAATGTGTTTTAAAATAGCATTTAAATATAGATTGTTGGCTAACTTTCCAAAGAAATAAAATCACAGGTGACTGCAGAAATGGAACACAATGAACTTCTAGGTGAACTCATAGGTGAACTCATGTGAAAGTGAAACAGACTTATTGGCCCATCAGTATTGCTGAGAATACAAAAATGAGAGATAGATAATAGATAGATGATAGACAGATAGATAGATGATAGATAGATGATAGATAGATAGATGATAGATAGATAGATAGATAGATAGATAGATAGATAGATAGATGATAGATAGATAGATATAGATGATAGATAGATGATAGATAGATAGATGATAGATAGATAGATGATAGATAGATAGATGATGATAGATAGATAGATAGATGATAGATAGATAGATAGATAGATAGATAGATGATAGATAGATAGATGATAGATAGATTGATAGATGATAGATGATAGATAGATAGATAGATAGATAGATAGATGATAGATAGATGATAGATAGATGATAGATAGATGATAGATGATAGATAGATAACAAAATGCATTTTATCTGATGTTTCATCCCAGAAATTAACTATAGTAAGAACTTTTCTATGGTAGCTTGTGCCATAAAATTGTAATAAAATAGCTACAACTGACATATGTTTACCTTTTCACTTCCTCAGGTGTATCATGCAAGCCATTGTAGTCGTAATCAAACACAGGGCCAGCAATGACATGGACACCATTTCTGGCTGCAGCATAGGCTGGCAGTAAGACCGCATTAAAGTAGTTCCATATCACTGAAAACACAATGGGAGCAGTTGAACAAGGAAATACAAGCGCCTTTCCTATCAATCACACATGCAGGATAAGAGGGCATCTTTTGGCATTTCCCTTACTAAGATCATAGGCTGCCTTCGTTTTTCTTATTTGTCAAACTAGTTTTGTATGGCATGAACATATCACCATCCCCTGATGGCTGGCAAATATGACATCTTTGGGATGTTGGAGGCCTCATAACACATAACCTCTGTGGCCTGGGGAATTTCCCTTGATTTGTATATTTTTTAGGCAAACTGGGGCGGCGGCACAGGGAGGTGCAAGCAGCTGCCCTCCAGACTGCTCACCTGCCCCTGCTAGCCAGCCCTGCTGCCTCCTCATACCATTCTTCAACTGAGGGAGTACACACTTGCCTCCAAACATCTTTACTTATTAGTGAGTTTCAGGGGTTTGGGTGGCAGGTGGTGGTTTTAAAAATAAAAAGAGAAGACACAATTAACCCTTACCATGGAAAGCATGGTACATTGGTACAATATTGCTTGATAAGAATGCTTCGATTTTACTGTATCTTTCATCCTTTATCAGATCTGAAAATTAAAAATGTATAAACTATTAATTACAAAATTTGAATGAAATGTCTCAAAAAAGGCTTATGCCCCTTTGTGCCCACTTCTGGGTTGCAGCAATGTGCACATGCGCTGTTGCATGTCAATTCAATGCACATAAATCAGTCGGTGCCTTATATCTTACATATAAAAGCAGAAACTGCAACTCTTGCTTTGCACGCTAATAAATTGCTCTGCTTAGAAATGAGAAAGAAAACAGAATTACTTGGTGGGAAAAGAAATCCATAGTTTAGCTGGGGGTGACTTTTGTAAAATGAACACATCTGGCTGCGGTTCGAAGGAATGCGACTGTCGACATTGAAGCAGCTTGGGGTGGCTTCTGAAGATCCAGTCCAATTGTCCTATTTAACAAAATGGGGTATTAGTTGCTGAGTATGCATACCACACATTAAATAAATGGTCAGATACAGATTCACAATTGCCTCCCTTACTCTGACTGTCATCTATGAAATGGTTTAGCCTGTGAAGCTTTTTTCTGGCCAATAATTATTCCAGTCTCAGTTTGGCTGGCTGAACATATGACTTGTGAAGAACTCTCTAATAGTAGAATTTTATAATTCCAAACCTCTTCCAGTTTTGCCACACCACCAGGAATAGGTCTATGTAGATGCTTTTGGAGCATCAGACATTTTTCAGACCAAGCTGGTCATAGCTAGGGTGAGACAACATGTAACATGCAAATGTAAGAGGCACATGGATGTGTTGTGGTCCACCTGGCCTTTGTCCAACAGAAGACTGTGACAGTGGAGGACTTCAGGCTGCTGTGGGAGATCTTGGATGTATGAACTTCAAAATCTTCAACTTGGAATTCTAATCAATTCAATATCTAGCCCTGGTACTCTCAGCCTTTTCAGGCTGAAGCACACACTTTTAATGCAAGAATGCATTTGGTGACCCAATTCTTTATCTTTTACCATATGTTTTCATGGTGGTGGTGATCTTGCTGCAACCCACTTGTGGGTCCTGACCCACCCGTTGAAAACCAGTGAAAGTCAACTAAATATCAAATGAAGTAAATTAGCTGAATTGTAACATGGGCCTGTTCTGCAATCTCCCACAATACTCATGGGGAACCACTGTGCTGTCTAAGAACCATTTGGTTTAGCTCTTAGTATCAGTATTCGTCTTAGTATTGTTTAGGCTCACTAGTCTTGCACCACCTTCTTTTCCCTCTTTTAAATATAAACTGTGTCCTTAATTACTAACATACTTACATGCTTGTTAACCATATAGGCACTCCACAAAGGCATCTTGATCTTGTGGCTGAAGCCATTTACATAATGGTAGCTGTGAAGAAGGCAATAGACCTGCTTCTTTTGGAGCACTCTGGGCCTCCCAAATGGCAAACTGTATTTTTCAATCTTCTTTACTAGAGTAGGAGGAAGAAAAACACAATTCAGCTTGCTTCTCCTGGAAAGATTTTCTGCTTAATTTATACTTTTCTCTAAGTAGTTACAACGCTTACTTTCTGAAGTATTGAAAGTTATCTGTTGTTGAATCTGTGGCAAGAGAAAGCAAAAGGTGAGGTCGTCATTTTGTGTACCATCATACCAAGCAAAACACTTCACACAAAAAAGTCCTGTTTTTCATGTTCCATCTTTGTTCCTCTCAATCACAGGGGCCCCATGAGGGGATATAGTGACAAAGCTTTCTCCCACTTCAGAGACAGAGAACCTATGGGCCCTCCAGCTGCTGTTGAACTCCAGCTCCTATCAGACCCAGCTAAAATAGTCAATGGTTGAGGGCTAAATTTACCATTGGCCTACCCTGCAAGGGTCACATGTCAGCAATGGGTGTGACCACCCAACGTTATCACAGACACATAGCCCTCCCTCCTTCCCCCTCAGCTGATCTGCAAAGATCAGCTGTGGAACAGGGTTAGGTCTCTAACCCACTCATAAAAGGACCAATCTGATGACCAAGACAGGAACAATTGAATTCACATCATCATCTGGGGGCTGGGCTGGGTGGAGAGATTTCCCTTTGAAGGAGGAGGCTCATGGTCTGAGAATTCTCCTTGTTCCAGCATTGTTGTTAGGTGTGGTCTCAGTAGAAAGCTGCTTTTCCAGCTCTGTCTGATTTGCCAGCTATGGCCATTCCTGAAAAGGGACAGTCTAGCCTCTATGACTCATGCACTGACAACCTTGGGATTGGATTACTGTAATAAGCTGTATGTGGGGCTTGCTTTGAAGATGGTTCAGAAGCTACAGCTAGTGCAAAATGTGGCAGCTAGTCAGCTGACTGGTTCAGGTCCTTGGAATCCTATTGCACTGATCTTGTGAGAGCAAAATTCAAGGCACTAGTAATGACTTATAAAGTTCTAAAACAACATGCTAAGATCAACAGCTGAGGTTCTCCTAGCTGTTCCTCATCCCAGTGACATCTGTTATGCAGCATTGAGGGACAGACCTCTCACTCTCACTGCCATCATGGTATGTCCTTTCCCTTGATCTATGACTGGCACCAATACTGATAAGCTTCCAATGTCAACCGAAAACCACCTATTCCATCCAGCCTTTACAGGGGTGACCATCTGGCCAGATATTGATTATTCTTGTTATTGCAGCAAAATCATTGCTGTGATTTTATCTGCTCCTTTTAGTTTTGGGTTATGATTGTATTGGTTGATAACCCTCCCTGGTATCACATTGTTATAAAGACTGGGTTAGAAATATAGATTTCTTTTTTAAAAAAATATTAAATACTTATTACAAACCATAGAAATCCCTCATTGACATCACTGAATGCCAAGTGATGTTGACATAGCTTATGAATACTTACTGAAAAAATCACATGGGCAGCCACGGTTATCTGCAGAGGTTCTCTGTTGTGTGGAAGGGCATGTCGAAGGAAGGCTTTCTTCCTTGGGATGTATCGGCATATAACTGGCCTTCTTTAAAAGATGGTTGAGGCTTCCATGGGTTCCATTGTTGGGAGCCGGTGTCAAGCCGAGTAGATCTACAGTTGTTCAGAAAACAATGGCAAAGATGTTCAAAGGTGCACTTCTGCACTGCAGTCCATTTGCAACTATGATCATGAAAATGCCATGTCTTTAGAATTTCTGACATTTTTGAATTCTATCTATGCTGGTGGTCAACTGAAAGGCCCACTGGAAGCTTAAAAATATAAGACAGTAAAATAAAGTAATCACATGCCCCAGGTGGGTCTCCTGGGAGACAGAATTCCAGAGCCTGGGTACTACCACTGAGAAGGACCTCGGACGTTATTGAGATGTGAAGTTGTGCTTCCTCTAAAGATATCAGTGAGTAGGCAGACTCATATGGGAACAAGCAAATCTTTAAATATAGCATATTATAGTCTGCTCACTACACAACAAACACTGCCTGTCATATGTATAGAAGACAGCTTGGGATCTTCTGCCTTCTATAAGGCACACTTGCACACTGGCCAACCCCAACCCTGATTCAGCCTACAGAATAGTCTACAACTGCAAGAATTTCTCTCTCATTTCCTTCACAGAGTTATAGCTTTACTGTTGATGAAGGTTCTAGAGGTGAAGCAAAAGCTCGGGCCCCTTGCAGGCTGTGATTCTGCTGCTAATACACAATAGGCTAAAATTCATTCCCTAATAAAGAGCAGTCTAACGCAGCCTCAAACTGACAGGGATTTCACAAGTGTGAATAGTATTTACAAACAGTTTTCTCCCCAAGAGAAGTCTGTGCACATTTCAATAAATGCACACTGAGAAAATGAGAGCGCTATTGATGCTAAGGGGAAACAAGCTATTAATCTGGATAATCAGGTCATCAAGGGCCATGCAAGAGAGCTTTAATATACAGCTCCCATGAATCTGTATGTTGAGACTGCATTTCATCACTTGGCAAAGTTTCAAAATGTAAGACAACAAAACATGTCTTTATGGTGAAGCTGAAGGCTTATTTGGCTTCTTGTCTATGTCCAAAAACCAATGAAACTTGGCACTTCCCTCAAATATCCACACACACACACACACACCTCATATCTAGTTAAACACTTATTTAAGTGTGGGGCAGTTTGCAATGGGAGAGAGAGCTCCAAGAAAGGGGAAATAGTAAGATATGGGAATCCTGAGAAGATGATACATGCATAGAAAGAGAGTAAATAGGAAGAGGACAAGAAGGGGCTCAACAAAATGTAGGGTTGTTGTTGTTAGATTGAAAATTGACATGGGCAGGAGACAGCAGAGTCCAGCAGTTTCCCACTATAAGAAATGTATCCATAATGTGCATGTAAAACGCCAGTCCAATCAAAAACTATTTTTCCAAAAGCTTTGTGAAGTGGGGGGAGGGAGCAGCCACTTTACCATACCACACATTAAATTGTAGATCTCAATGTTTTCGAAGGGATCAACTTCATTTTGAATCTTGAATCCAGGTCCAAACCCAATAAACAGAGCCTAGAATAAAACAGAAATTATGTTTTATATGTATGAAATGAACATCTCCCTTTCCCTTTCCCTTTCCCTTTCTCTTTCTCTTTCTCTCTCTCTCTCTCTCTCTCTCTCTCTCTCTCTCTCTCTCTGTGTGTGTGTGTGTAACGCACACTCATTTGGAACATCCATTTAGGATGTAGTCCTATTCTCATTTATCTGAGAATAGGCATGATTAATTCTATTTCTACTACTTCTATAAGGTTGCACTGTTAGTCTTTAACTAATAGTTGTTAAATTGGTCTGAATACAAATGCAGTCTAAGCTCATCTGAAATGATTCTCTGTTAAAGTTATTTCAGGGGAAATCAGAACGACCTTTCAACAGACTCCTCTACTTTAGACTGCGTGTATGAGGAATATATAGTTCGTTCACATATATTTTTCAGAACTGGCTCCAGCAGAAGTAAACAGTGAGTAACTATGCCCCTGTGTCTATGTAGCCCTTAAATTTATCTAAACATGTAAGACTGAGATAGCCCTTTTTAATGGCATACAGGAAACCCAGCTTTAAAAACAAAACAAAAAACCAAGTTTGATCTAACATTATCTGTCAGGAGGCTTACATTGTTGCAAATGTTCCAGTTGAGGTTCTTTTTTACTTTCTTTGAACAAATACAATATGTATTTCCTTGCAAATGTTATTGAAGTCATGACACAAATGTTATAATCTACCTTTATTCAGACTACAGCTGCATCCCTCAAGACAAACAAAAGCAAATAACAGACTGCTACATTCAAGGCGAATGAGTTTCTTATGTCTTGTGGTAATTTTTTTTTAACAGCTGTTATTTGTGCAGCCACTGCTGTTTGCGATAAAGAACATTAGCATGCCATGCTTCTCGGTAACAACAGATGTTCCTACAGTAAAGATCTTAAACTACTACTTGTCCCCTCCAAAGACCATTCTTTTGAATTCTCATGCAAGTTGCACATTTAATAAAACCAAGATCTAGCTGTAAGACTGCTCCAGTCACCAGAAAAATCTAGCAGACAAGAGATGATACAAGGATGATACCTGTGCCATACATTTGGACTACATATTCTGCAGATGTACAGAAGAATAAATGTTGGGTTACCCAGTCTCATCCCACCCCATCACAATCAGAGCAGGACAGACTGTGCAATTTAAAGTAAGACAAATGCCATATCTCTGGCATTTCATAAACGTATGGGTTCTCGATCCAAATATCAAAAGTGAGATAATTTAAAATGCTAGCTGTCAAGATATAAAATTCTTCACCTACAACCTGAATTTGGAACAGTCCCATGAAAGCAATACAGTGGGGGATCTTTTAAAGATATATAGATTAGCTCACAGGTGCCTCCCAGCCCCATATTACAGGGAACTGGAATAAGCCTAAGTAGGCAGGACACAAGTCTAGATGGCAAGGAGGGTCAGTGGCCAGGCATGAGTGAGAAACATAGAGGGAGCATGATAGAGATCCCAGCATCAAAGACTACCCCAGGATCATTAAAAGCCTTGGAAGCGCACAGAGGGGAGAGACCCTATTTACCTGCATATTTGCAAATGCATTGTCTGACCCATGGAATCCACCAGTGCAATACTTGAGCTCAGAGGGCATCCTGCAAAACACAGACATGAATAGATAACTGGCAATACCTGCCAACCGGCATTACAGAAAAAACTTGACTAGTGCAACCACTGACCCTCAAACTTTCCTTTTTCACAATTTGTTCCTCTTCCTACTATTCAGAGCACCATTTGCTGAGACTATGTACTGCTGTTTCCATTGTCATAGCCAAGGGCGGCAGGGGGGGAGGCTGCCCTCCCATTAAGTAAATAAAGAAAAATACTTAACTGAGGTTTTGCCGCCACCCCACCACCCTAAATCCTAGCTACGGCCATGGATGCTTCTCAAATCTCTTCATTAGCTTCTTTTCCCTTTCCATATCCAGGACTAACTCCTTGTCCTGCTCATTAAAATTCTTCTAACCAGCAAAGCTCAGCCTTAAAATCCAACAAACTAGCAGAAGGGAAAACTCAAGAAAGGTTACAAATATATAATTTGATCCCACTTAATAGAAATAAGCAACAAAACTCAGAAACATACGATTTGTGTTATGGTGCTGGAATGAAACAATGCTTCCATGCACAAGTAGAGTTCATGGGCCCTGTAAAAAAATTAAATTTTCATAGCGAGGAATGAAAGAGTGGCCACTTACCGAGCAAGCTGCCATTGCTTGTCCATATAAAAATGCACTGGCTCAATCCGGTCATTCTTGGCATAATGAAATCGCTTGGGGAGCAGTTGCTTCAGGTATGCCTTGAAAGGTTGATTTGGAACCAAGCACTGAAAATGTTGAAATTAAAATTAAACCCTGTTACGCTTGCAAGATTTTAAGTATTCCCAAATGGAAACACTTGAATAACTCAAACGGTAAACCTATTCAAATGCTTCTATAGAAAACTTTCAGGTCCCCTTCTCTCTCTCTCTCACCCCATCATGGGAGCCACTTCCATGTGATCTGGTGTCATACCCACAAGGGTAAGCCCGATAAAGAACGTAGCTGTAATTTTACAACTGGGCAGAGGGTAATGACTATACTTACTGTAAGGTTTCTTACAATGCCTTCGTAATCAACTGGAAGAGTTAGATGAAATAATTAGTTACCTAAAGGTCAAAAGAAAAATGAAAATAAAGGATGTCCTAATAAGTCATGGTGATTTAAAAACTGCATAATACTTCATATTCCTTAGCAAGCATTCATGACTCTCTCTTTTTTGCCATAGCCTTATCCACACCAAAAGCAACTCTTTACCATACAGCATGGCACAAGGGTGTCAAAAACCAATGTGGACAGTCCCATGCTGGCTTCAGGCAGACTTGGCTGAAAAGCTCTCCAATCGTTCATTTACCGCACAACTTACTTGAGTAATGTGAGATTTCTCTGAGTGCTCAGTACATTAGTTAAACATAGAGAAGTGTCTAAATAAATAAAAACAAGCAGCAACTGTCATCTTTCTGGAACCTACTGGAGTTTTGTGTTCTTTGAAATATCATGCCCTTGGTATGAAACAGTTCAATTGCTTTAAAATGTGCCAGCTCTGTATTTCCCCCAAAAAGAAATCAATTGCATTTATTCACTTCTGCAAAAGAAAGTTAAGAGACTGTGGACTAAAAATGCATCATGGAACTGTAGATTTCGAAAGGGCCACAAGTGCCATCTACTCCAACTCCCTGCAATGCAGGAATCTTTTGCTCAATGTGGGGCTCAAACTCATGACTCTGATATTAAGAGTCACGTACTCTACCAAAGTATGATTACATGTGGCATCTTATTGTATTGTATTATCAAAATCAATCTTCATTACGGTCCAGAGACCCAACAAATTGTTACAAAGCAATGCACAATTCATACAGCCTACCTCCAGGTTAAACAAGCATTTTGTTCAAAAGATAGGGATCATTGGTTCTTGCAACCACTGATAAAAACTTTGCCACTGCTAATGTTCTAGCGTTTGTCCAGTCTTCCAATAGGAACCTGACATAGTGAGCCTCTGATTTTCCCGGGAAAGTATTGTATTATATTGATAGGATACTGGGGTTGTGCCTCAAGATAGTGAGCGGTTGCATTTGTATATAACCCTGAAGAAGATGCCTGCAAAAACTACTTTTTTTACCTCCCCATATCCAACCAGCTTAAATGTTCCAAAACACTTAAGTTATGCCTTTCAAGTGATTAAATCACTGAAGAGCTGTCACAGAGAAGAGCTCCAGTGCAATGATGCATTGTTCTATAATTTTTGCTGCAATCTTTACCTCATTGACCTGGGAATAAGCCCCACTGAATTCAGTAGGACTTACTTGTGTATATATATGCTTAGGATTGCACTCTAGATGTTTATAAGTTGTTTCAGATGCAGGTAATGAACACAATAATTCATTTATTCATTCAGTTTCCATTTTAACCTGCTCTTTGGTCAAACAAAGGTCAACCATTCCCAGGACTGAAGCAGGAGAGAAGCTTGACATGGTTATTTTGTTATGGACTTCTTGTAGTACAGGCTCGTTCCAATATTTATTTTGCTGTACTTTGAAAGTTGCAACACACACAAATAAGTAGTATAAATTAGTCTAGTAGTTACATACAAGAGTAATACTCATCTGGAACTTTTTGGGGTCTCAAGCGAGCTGCAGGTCCAGGTACTACAAACAAGTCTTGAACACTATCCAAGTATGTATTTAGGTATGCTGATTTGCTGCAGCTTGCTGCCTCCATTCCTTCAAAGAAAGAAGAAAGACTATTTTTAAGAATAGCTCACTAAGACAACATAGCTCACCAAGAAAGACATGAACAACAAATGAATGGCACAATCCTGTACATGTCTACTCAGAAGCAAGCCTCATCAAGTTCAATGGAACTTAGCCCTAGATAAGTGTGTATAGGATTGCAACCTTAGTAGTATAAATAGACTTTGACATTTCAATAACAGAGCAATCCAAACTACAGGAAATGGTGTAACTTCTGCCGGGTCGCTAGATCTAATGAAAGAGCTGAAGGAGGTTTGGGATCAGGGTCACACTGCTATTTCTCCCTCCTGCTCCAGCCACTCCCCTGGATCACCCCCTTTTTTTGGCAGTGTGGGGGTTGGCGGGTTATGCTCACTTAACTTATGCTCCTCATCTGAGCCAGGGTGGAGAATTTATACTGGCATAGCCACAACTCAGTTGGGACAACCCAAGAGCTGCTGGATCCAATCTCCCCACCCCAGCAGGTTGTTTCGATTGTACTATAAATGTTGTAAATTGTTGCCTATGTTTCTGTTTCTCCACCTGAATCCTAAACATGGAAGTAAGTCACTGTGACTTAAACTGGATTTACTTCCATTTATTCTGAACCTTTCTGAGATACTGATATGAGATATTACAAATAATGAAGAGTGTGAACCAAATCAAGTTAGAGAAAATATGTATTCATTCACACATAAAATTTATAGGCTGCACTGTAACCACGGTTCTCTGGGTAGCTCAACACAAAATTACAGTAAAACAAAATATAACCAATAAAACACCAGAATATCCTTATTATTTGTTTGTTTTTTTAAAAAAGTGTTCAAACAAGACCTGCATAATTTAAATAAGTTTACCATGATCAGAAAGCAGAATAATGTTAATGCAATTGTGGAGGTTCATCTGCTTAAGTCCATCCATCAGTAGCCCAACTATGCTGTCTACTCTCTGTAATGCAAGAATGACCTGCAGAAAAGAAACAAAAAAGGAGAGGCAAAACTAATGATAACTTAACATGTAAATAAATGTTAACAGAGATTAATATTTTCAATATTTCAACAAGTTACTCACATAGAAAAAACCTGCAGCCTGCAGCCTGACATACATACACAGAAACAAACGGAAATCTAGACTGGTATTTTGGAAAGCATCGCAAATATAGTTAGAAGAAAGATGTGTCTTATTTTTTATATTTCATGGCTTAAATCAAGAGGTTGTCAGTTACATGTAATACACCATGGCCCGGTTAATGCATAATGCTAAGCCAAACCATGTTTTACAGCACAATCCTAACCATGTCTTCTCAGAAGTAAGTTTCGTTGAATACAATGGGGCTTACTCCCAGGTCAGAGGGGTGCAGATTGCAGGCTTAGTCTGGGGTAGAACAGCAGCAGCAGGACCAGGGAAATTCACACTATGCCATGGTTTAGCTGAGCATTAGGTATGAACTGGGAAGTGCTGTTTTTAAAATGCTGCTTATGTACATGTAAGCTTCCAACAAATGTCTTTTTTTAAAAAAATCACATCCCTGAGCAATTACAGAACTTAACATTAAAAGCAAAAGTAAAATAATATGAAGTTACTTACTTCACTGCTAACTGGTCCATATCTGTGGCCTGAGGAATCTGGTTCTTCTAAATACAGAGTGTAAAGGTGTGGTCTATATCAAACAGCACCAACATTTTAATATTTTACATATAAATTCAGAGAGAAGCGTGGAAATATTTAGATTCAATATTATTTATGCGAAATAAGTGTGCACCAAGAACAAGAAAGGGTCTTGCAACACCTTACAGAATAGCTGAATATCCTAGCTTACATATATTGGAGAACAGGTGTGCCACACCAGCTAAGAGAACAGAATGAGTTATGAATCAAGAAATCTCCACTTTGAATCTCGCCTCTGCCATAAACTCATTAGGTAGCCTTAGGCAAGCCATTCTCCCTCATCCTTAGTCATGCCTCCCCTGATGAGAGATATGAAGAATAACAAGGACTGAGAATGCACTCCTAATCCTGCTACTGTCTGGCAGGCTTAATGGAGCAGTGGGGGCCCCACCACATTCACATCCTTGCTAAGCATGGAAGGTGAAAGGGGGAAGAGAAATTGCTCCAGCAATTGGGAGATGGTACATTGATCAGCCCTGGACTGGGGGCAATGCCATCACACGATGGCAACAGGGCTGGCTTGGAATCAAAACAAATCCTCAGCTGCCTCAGCCCCTCCCTAGAGTTCTCTGCTGGTTGCCATTGCCAGGAAACTCACTAGAAGCACTTCCTGCTGCTCTTGTATTTGGCAGGCAGAATGGGGAACTCTGCACACAGGTGGCACACAGGGCTGGGCAGAGGGACATGTAATCCAACCCCAGCCCAGTGCAAATGGGGGTTAGATTTCTCTGCCACTTAAGCGGGTTAAGATTGTAACTAGGTAATGCATGAAAAGTACTTGAAAACCCTTCAAAATGCATGAGAAGTACTTTGGAACCCTTGAAAGTGCTACACAAATGATGATAAATAATAATAATGTGGCATGCATATATATGCGCTGGCATGAAAGCTTTTTTCTCCATGAAAGCCTGTGCTGGAAAAAATATGTAGGGCTTTATAGTGCCACAAGACCTTTCATCGCTTTTTCTGCAACAGCTTAAAAAAGGCTCTGGAAAGTGTTTGTTGTTCACTGAAGCAAAAACAACAAAACCTGTGGTTCAATGCAGCCCAACCCCATAAGCAATGAGTGGGCTGAACTCCCAAGCAGATGTGCATATGGCGGCAGCCTAAGACCACAATCCATGCAAAGTCAAGCACACATGAATCCTGCTGATTTCAATGGGAAAGTGAAATGTGTACTCAAGTATCTGCCACTGAAAATTAAAGGGGATTAAGTGCTGATCATGCTGTAACAAATGTACTTTGCTGCAAGACCCTATTTTTTCACATGTACCTTCTTCAGATGCTGCATCAGTACAGTCTTACTATGGAAGCTCATGCCACAACTAATGTGTTACACTTTAATGTACCGCCACACTGTATATTGCTACCACAGCTACACATCTGGAGTTAGAAACTGAATACATATCTTACAGGGAGATGGAAACAGGCGTAACTTGGTGGTCTTGCTAAAATGCACAGAATTATGCAGTGATGGATGTCCCCAAGATCCTACAAGCAGAATTCTGCCCAAGGGATGCTTCTGCTGGTAGATGAAGGAGTGGATTCCATCATTTCTCCTTCTGCTGTGCTTCCCCTTGGCCTTGGAAATCCACTGCAGAGGACCAGGGGAACCCTCCAAAACAGTGAGGGAGGTGGCAAGAACGATGGTGGAGAAAAAAAGGAAGCAGCAAAAATTTCTTCCTTCCCACTTCTGCCAGCAGGAGTCTCCGCAGGGTCAAATATTGTTCTGTTTGTGGAAGAGCCCAGTCTGGATCCAAGGCAAATAGCATTCAAGTTAATCATTGTCCTGGTTTTCTAACAGTCCTAAGCACAAGTATAGCTTTGAAATGTCATGCTTACCTTTCCTCTTCTGGTAACTGTAGCCATTTAAGCAAAGTCATTACTCTTTCTCCATATGGCACTGACCTAAATAATAAAACAAAACAAAACAAAAAGACTTCAGCTCCAAAACACGGTGACCAGGTATTACCCATTAAATCTGTACAGGTGGATTCTGTTGTCCGCAGACCATTTTTTTATGTTTGTGTATCTGCACTAAAGTACCAGCTTTATTTATTAGTATTTAAAGGTAAAGGCACCCCTGACTGTTAGGTCCAGTCGCAGACGACTCTGGGGTTGTGGTGCTCTTCTCGCTCTATAGGCCGAGGGAGCTGGCGTTTGACCGCAGACAGTTTCCGGGTCATGTGGCCAGCATGACTAAGCCGCTTCTGGCGAACCAGAGCAGCACACGGAAACGCCGTTTACCTTCCCGCTGGAGCGGTACCTATTTATCTACTTGAACTTTGATGTGCTTTCAAACTGCTAGGTTGGCAGGAGTTGGGAGCAAACAACGGGAGCTCAAACCACCAACCTTCTGATCGGCAAGCCCTAGGCTCTGTGGTTTAGACCACAGTGCCACCTGCGTCCCTTTGTATTTGCTTTGTATTAATTCATTTGGTCTGGGTTTCATTGGTGGGGATGATGAAAAGAGGAGGTGAAGATGTCTGAGTTGCAGTTCTAAAGAAAAAGATGGGTAGAGGCCAAGTGAAAGGCCATTTCTGTGGAAGAGAGACATGGATGAGACATAAATCAAGGACGGATTGGATGAGCCTGCCTTGTTAGAGCAAAGGAAAACAAATGACCATTTGATGAATTGAGGAATATGTTCTTCCTATTGTGATATTGGTAGAATAAATAAGATGTGCTGTTTCAAAACTTTTTTAAAATTCTGGGGTTTTTGTATTTGTTGTTCGTCAACTTAGTGACTCACCCATTGTATACTTTATAGATGTCTGGAAAACTTCCATTAACGGCGACATCTGAACCAGGCCAGAAGAACGTGGCAGATTTTAGTCCTTGATACATAGCTGTCAACCAGATCTGTATGAAAGGATAGACAATTGCTATTCATTAAGTCTTTCTAATGATGAATTTCATGAACTTTATTTTAAAGCTATTTATAGTAACATGGAGAGATACGTTTTATCAGGTCAGGTCAGGTCAGTGACCCATGTGGCTCAGTGTTGTCTACTTTTACTTGCAGTGAGTTCAGATGTTCAAAGGTCTCCTGCTCCCTCAAAGCCCTCTGCACTGTTTCTTCCTTGCCATCCTGTATACTTAAAACTGCCTCCTGGAATGCCTGTGTGATGCCGCCTCTCTTACTTCCTCTAAATCATTCGCCAAAGACCAACCTTTTCTATGAAGCTGTTGGCTCAACTCTCTAGTTCCTAGGCTCTTTTCTAATGGAGCCAACGGCCATCCACACATTTCCAGCTTAAAACACAGCTAAGTTGTTCTTTCTCTCAAATCAGATCAATTGATGTGTGTGGGTGTTGGGGAACTATATCAAAAAAGGCTGTCTGTTATAATAAACAACAGGATAGAGATGGGGTGGTATTCAACTAAGTTTGACTCAGAGTAGACACACTGAAATTAATGGACCTAATGGATTGCAGCCAACGTCCTTTCTACACCACTTGCCAAAGCAGCAGTGGGAATGGACTGACCGCAGAATAAACAGGGCTGTGTACACAGCCTCTAACTAAGCTTAAGCATATGAAACTGAAACAGCTGCACCAATGAGGAATCAATAAACTTCTAGTCTTTACCTTTGAAACCCTCCATGGCCTTGGTCTCTTATACCTTTACTGACATATCCTTTCCTGTTGACAGTCAGTTATCCAGTTCCATCACCTGTTCCCTGAAATGATTCTGCCCTTACCGCTTTGCTGTCTGTCTGGAACTGCTTCACAAGGCACCTTTATGCAAACACCTTCCTTAATTTCCTTCAAACCCACCTTCAATCAGAGTTCCAAAGATTAATTGTAATTAATACAAACATGTGTAATTGAAATAACTGGATAGTTCAATCCTGACTTCAGTTCCCTCCCCCCATCTCTTTTGTCTCTTTCTCTTGCCCTGAATTTCAGACTGTAAGCTCCTTGGGGGCAGGGACCTGTGCTCTTGTGCTCTGAAAAGTGTCATGCACACTGATGATGCTATATAAATATAGCAATAGTATAAATACATATTCAGTTAGAATAGGTTCCCTTTTTTCAAAAAAAAGATAAATAAAAGCAAAAGATATTTAAATTTTCAATTCTTTCATGGGTTGTTAGCATATATTATATAATATATTGGCATATATCTTTTGGCAGGAAGGGCAGGATATGAAATACGTAAAATATAATATAATTAGCACTTACTGGCTGTCCTTGGTACCACTGTGGATTAAACTTCTCTACGTTTCTGAGAGTGAAGATAGCATTTCTCTTTGGGTCGTACATTTTATTATCCACTAGACCATGGGATTCTGGGTATAAGCCCTGAAAAATAAGATTGATTCATTGCATATGTATCAACATTGCTTCTGCTTCCAACCATCTGGGGACAAGGGACTGTATTTGAGCAATAACACTTGCAGGTCAAACCAACTTGACATATTGCTTATCTTTACCAATCTCCCCCTATAATGTACAGCCCCACCAGAGTTTGGGGTGCTTGTGGGGCATACTCTCCATTCACATAGGACAACAGATTAGTAGGACACACCTCTTAACGAGTGTGGGAAGAATAACAAAGAGGCAGTGTTAATTTGAAAGGCAAGAGAGACAGAACAAGAAAGAGGGTAAAGAAAGGCTGGGATGGGAATGGTATTTCAATTAGCATCATGGACTCAAGGGGTGGGGAGAAGATATGAAAAGGGATGGACTGCTTTCATATTTTTAAGTCACTGAGTTTTTGACAAACAAAAGGTTAAAATATACTTTAAAAGATAGCAAAAAGATATCACATTACACACATGTATAATGTTAGAAACATACCATATTTTTCGCACGATTGGACGCACCGGACCATAGGACGCACCTAGTTTTTTGGGGGGGAAATAAAGGGAAAAAAAATTCCCTTTATTTCCCCCCCAAAAGCAGGTCAGGGAAACCGAACCAGGTCGAGGAACAGCGGAATAGTGGCGCTGCGCCTCCCTGCTGTCCCCCGAGCTTGTGGGGCTGGCTGATGTCTGCCTGGCGCGCAGGGCGCTCTGCTTCAGGGCGCCCCACCCGCCAGGCAGCAGGCTGCTATCCGCAGCGTGGGGAGCCCTGTGGGGAACTCCTGCAAGGCTCCCCACTCTGCGGATGTCTGCCTGGCGTGAGGGGCGCTCTGCTTCAGGGCGCCCCACCCGCCAGGCAGCAGGCTGCTATCCGCAGCGTGGGGAGCCCTGTGGGGAACTCCTGCAAGCCTCCCCACGCTGCGGATGTCTGCCTGGCGCGAGGGGCGCTCTGCTTCAGGGCGCCCCACCCGCCAGGCAGCAGGCTGCTATCCGCAGCGTGGGGAGCCCTGTGGGGAACTCCTGCAAGCCTCCCCACGCTGCGGATGTGTTCCCGAAGCGCCTGGAGCTCTGCTTTCAGGGCGCCCGACGCTCCGGGAAGCAGGCTGCTATGGCTAGCAGAGCGCTAATCCCGAACCTTGGGGCGTGCGGAGCTCAGCGCGCCCCAAGCTTCTGGGCGCCGGCAAGGTCTCCACTAGGCTAGCGGAGACCTTGCCGGCGCCCAGAAGCTTGGGGCGCGCTGAGCTCGCACGCCCCAAGCTTCGGGATTAGCGCAGCGGTCCGCTAGCCGTGGGAGAGCCGTGCGACGTCGCGGGGCTCTCCCACGGCTAGCGGAGACCTTGCCGGCACCCAGAAGCTTGGGGCGCGCTGAGCTCTGCACGCCCCAAGCTTCGGGATTAGCGCAGCGGTCCGCTAGCCCTGGGAGAGCCGTGCGACGTCGCGGGGCTCTCCCACGGCTAGCGGAGACCTTGCCGGCACCCAGAAGCTTGGGGCGCGCTGTGCTCCGCACGTCCCAAACTTCGGGATTAGCGCAGCGCTTCGCTAGCCCTGGGAGAGCCGTGCGACGTCGCGGGGCTCTCCCACGGCTAGCGGAGACCTTGCCGGCACCCAGAAGCTTGGGGCGCGCTGAGCTCTGCACGCCCCAAGCTTCGGGATTAGCGCAGCGGTCCGCTAGCCGTGGGAGAGCCGCGCGACGTCGCGGGGCTCTCCCAGGGCTAGCGAGACCTTGCCGGCACCCAGAAGCTTGGGGCGCGCTGAGCTCCGCATGCCCCAAGCTTCGGGATTAGCGCAGTGGTCCGCTAGCCCTGGGATAGCCGCGCGACGTCGCGGGGCTCTCCCAGGGCTAGCGGAGACCCTGCTTGCACCCAGAAGCTTGGGGCGCGCTGCGCTCCGCACGCCCCAAGCTTTGGGATTAATGCTGCGCTCCGCTAGCGGTGGGAGAGCTGGGTCTCCCACGGCTAGCGGATAGCTTCCTGAAGCCTGGAGAGCGAGAGGGGTCGGTGCGCACCGACCCCTCTCACTCTCCAGGCTTCAGCGAAAGCCTGCATTCGCTCCATAGGACGCACACACATTTTCCCTTGCTTTTTAGGAGGGAAAAAGTGCGTCCTATGGTGCGAAAAATACGGTAAGTGTTCTGCTTCACCAGATTTTATCTAAGGGCTCCTTCAGCAAACGTCTTTATTGAGAGTTCATCCCGATTTGCCTCCATGAAGCTGAGCTCGCACGCCCCAAGCTTCGGGATTAGCGCAGCGGTCCGCTAGCCCTGGGAGAGCCGTGCGACGTCGCGGGGCTCTCCCACGGCTAGCGGAGACCTTGCCGGCACCCAGAAGCTTGGGGCGCGCTGAGCTCTGCACGCCCCAAGCTTCGGGATTAGCGCAGCGCTTCGCTAGCCCTGGGAGAGCCGTGCGACGTCGCGGAGCTCTCCCAGGGCTAGCGAGACCTTGCCGGCACCCAGAAGCTTGGGGCGCGCTGTGCTCCGCACGTCCCAAACTTCGGGATTAGCGCAGCGCTTCGCTAGCCCTGGGAGAGCCGTGCGACGTCGCAGGGCTCTCCCACGGCTAGCGGAGACCTTGCCGGCACCCAGAAGCTTGGGGCGCGCTGAGCTCTGCACGCCCCAAGCTTCGGGATTAGCGCAGCGGTCCGCTAGCCGTGGGAGAGCCGCGCGACGTCGCGGGGCTCTCCCAGGGCTAGCGAGACCTTGCCGGCACCCAGAAGCTTGGGGCGCGCTGAGCTCCGCATGCCCCAAGCTTCGGGATTAGCGCAGTGGTCCGCTAGCCCTGGGATAGCCGCGCGACGTCGCGGGGCTCTCCCAGGGCTAGCGGAGACCCTGCTTGCACCCAGAAGCTTGGGGCGCGCTGCGCTCCGCACGCCCCAAGCTTTGGGATTAATGCTGCGCTCCGCTAGCGGTGGAGAGCTGGGTCTCCCACGGCTAGCGGATAGCTTCCTGAAGCCTGGAGAGCGAGAGGGGTCGGTGCGCACCGACCCCTCTCACTCTCCAGGCTTCAGCGAAAGCCTGCATTCGCTCCATAGGACGCACACACATTTTCCCTTGCTTTTTAGGAGGGAAAAAGTGCGTCCTATGGTGCGAAAAATACGGTAAGTGTTCTGCTTCACCAGATTTTATCTAAGGGCTCCTTCAGCAAACGTCTTTATTGAGAGTTCATCCCGATTTGCCTCCATGAAGCTTAGTGGTGGTTAGCTTTGTCCAGTCCCGACTGAGCATTTGAGCTGTTTTGTTTATGGGCAGTTATATGGAAATGAACATTCATCCTGCATTCCTCCTAATTTGGTTGGGAGGGGGGTTTACATACTTTCCTGTTAATCGTTTATTCACCCCATCACTTACCAAACCACAAAATCTGTGGTTGTTTTTTAAGTGGATTCATTGCACCAGAATTACAGAGTACTTTAATCCACTTTAATTGTGCAAATATAAAGCTCTGGTATGTGACTGAATCTCTTCCACAAAGTACTGACAGTCACAAGGCACCCTAAATGGTTATGAGTCTCTAAAGGGTAGTCAAAATGGTGATTCCAAGATGTTGTTAAGACTCCAATTCCCTGCTACCCCTGCTCTCAACATACAGATGTTCAGGCTTGGGATTATAGTCTTACTTAGGGGTAATTGCTAGTATCCAGGTGATAAAAAGATGATAACAAGGCTTAATTTGCTTTTTTCAGGACACTGATCTAATGTTTTACTTAAGAAATGGCATTGACTGAGGAATCTGAATTTGAGGGAAGCAGTCACCAAGCACTTCCTGAGACTGTGAGAATGGCTAGTTATTAGCAAAAGGATAACGAGATTCATTAACTACCCCTTTTAGTCTCTGTCAGCTATCATGCACAAAGCAACATGAAAGCTCTGCCCTAGGCAAGCAACTAATTTCTTCCTCCTCCGCCCCTGCCCACCTCTCTGAACTGGTGCTGCCTCCTTGGTATTAGCATCTAGGCATTTCACAGGTACACATTTGCATTATGCATTTTCTGCAGTTATCTTTCTGTTTCCCACAAGAATCCTTACACTATTAAAAGCAATGGAACTTGAGAGCCAAAATTCGCTTAAAACGTGCTGACTGCAATATTGTACAATTTTGCATAACTACAGCTCTCTTACTAATGATATGAACTGAAAATGAAATAGAATGAAATCCACTTTCTTCCTCCATAGGGTGTGTGTGTGTGTGTGTGTGTGTGTGTGTGTAGGAATCCCAAGATGCTCTTACCGTGACAATGCTGTAATGATTGGGAAATGTTTTTGATGGGTACACTGGTCTCATGCCATGAGCGTATGTTCCACATTTTCCTTTTGTAGGAAGCAAAATAAAATTAGAATTGTCTAACAATGCCACATTGACAGATAATATATTTTTTCATACAAATACTTTACAAAGTGCTATAAGAATATGACAAAATTGTCAGTTGCACCAAAGGTCATTTCCCCAGCTACATTTACGGATTGGTAGCTGCTTGGAGCACAACTGGCTTGCAATAACAGCGAGTGGCAACTATATTCACATAAACTGTCTGGGGGAGCCATGGGGAGTTCCTCCCAGGCAATCACAACCGTATAGCAATTTGTTGCTGTATAGCAAATCGCTACCACATAGCAATATGAATGCGTCAACTGACCCTCATAAACATAAAGAGGGTAAACATAACATAGGAACTTTTGACGCTAACAGTTTTCTACTTTAGAGTCCTGCCTCTTGTGGTTTTCAGTTTATGACCACCCTACATTGCTGGATCAATAAACTAAATCTTTAGAAATCTACAGAGACAGTCTTTGGTTTCTAGTGCTAACTTAAAAAGAAAACAAATAATCTCCAGAACTTTTACTACCATAAACACATTCTAAAGAATGCCCTTCTCATCTCATTTCTTAAAGTAACATGCCATTCATTACCACTCTGAAATGGGTAATCGTGGTCAAACGAAAGGTACCTTGATAGGAGTCCTTCTGGGCTTTTATTGGGCCCCATGACCTTATTCCTTCACTCCTCATCCTCTTTTCACACTATGGGCTTTTTAGGTTAAGGAGCAGTAGTGGATGGCAGAGCAGGGTGATGGCACTTGCCTGCCTTTCAGCAGAGGAATCAATGCCACCAGCTCCTGCTGGTGTGTTTGCACTGTGCTGGCCTTGCCACAGCCTTGTACCTCCCATTCTCCCTTCAGGTAAGCACTGCTACCCTACCACCCACTACTATTAAGCAGGATGAGAAAGCGTTAGGTAAGACCTGAAAGTAGCTCAGCTGACCCTCCTAGGCAAATCCACAAGGTCATTCCTTACTGTATATTCAAATAAATGAGATTTTCAGAAACTAGAGATGCAAACATTTTGCTTCTTTAATTCAACTCACGGAAAATATTTGGTAATCATCTCAAAATTAAAGCATCCAACATCCCCTCTGTCTCAGAATGATAGGAGGCTACAGGCTCAAAGGTTCAGAACAGGGTGGCCAACATGGTGTTATTGGACTCCCAACTCCCATCAGCCTTAGGCAGCATAGTCCATGGTTAGGGATGACAGGAGTCTGGAGGGCACCACACTGACTACTTTTGCTTCAGAGTTTTTAGACCAATGCTACGTCATGTCACCTTCCAAATGAACTTAACCTGTGTTTATTGTGACAGCTGTAGCTAATAAACAAAGCAAAAGAAAGTTGTTCTAGAAACTGGTTTGTGTGCATGTGTTTGTACCTGTTCCCTGTTCTGATTAGCAAGCTAATTCAACATAAATGCTTACATTATTGTAAAATTAGAAATACTGTGCTGTTGCCAAAACATGTCCACTAAGCACTTGTCTCTCACTCTCTTTACAACTTTTTAGATATCTAAACATTTAAAGAAAGAACTGCCATGGAATTACTATGTTGCTAAGTTACAGGCTAATTCTGCCCCCTGAATTTTTATATAGTCAATCAATGCTCCATTGTTTTCTCAGTATGCTGCATACCACAGCATAGACTTTGCTCTTGCAGTGCTACACACCAGTATGCATAATGGATTTGATCTAGAGATATGCAAGCACAAGTATAATGATGTGATGGAGCTTTCACGCACAATGGGGCTTTCCATCTCCCCACTGCAACTCTCTATAACACACACACACCGCAAAACAAAAAACCCACTGCTCCTGATGAAGCAGGGTGGACAGATAGAGGGGAACAGGAAGAGAAGTCAACAGGAACAATTTAGGTGAGCAAAACTGCCTTCTGTTTACATACAGGACTTTCTGGACTAAAATCATAGGCTTTACCTATAACAGCTTTAAAACAGGCTTGTTTGGTTCACTTCAATATGGCAGAAGCCCCCGCCGGAGGTCAGGGATGGCAGTGGTTTCCACCAATTCCTCTTCCCCTTTTGCTACCTCCTTTGTATTCTGGAGATTCCCAGCCACCCTTCTGGAGCAGATTTACAGGATGTACAGGGGGCTAGAGGGAAAAGCAGGGGTTGTCTTGTCTCTCCCCACCCCCAAACTCCTCCAGCTTGAAATTCAAATAAATAAACCGTGTGTTGGGCATTTGTTGTGTGAGTTGCTGCTTTATTTTTTAAAAAAAAATCAAGTCAACTGAAATTCTTGCTGACTATATTCTATTTTTAACATTCTTCTGCCCTCATCCCCAATACTAACTCCTTAAGAGTCCAAGAGTCTTGTCTCGCCAAATTTTTCCATGTTTTGAACTGTGGTCACTTTTAAAATGATCGCTGTCCAGCCACAGTAACAGTTGTCTAATCATGCCTGCCCTTCATAGAACCCAGGCTTGGCTTCATCAAAGTCTCTCTTGTCTTTTGACTCATCAGCCGCTATAAAACTGCCACCCTCATTTGGGTCAAAATGAGTTTACGGGAAGTGTGAGAAGCTCATGAGGGCAGACAACATGTTCAAGGGGAAAGTACTGTTTAGATTTATTATTACATTCTTAATAGATCAACATGCTGTGGCTCAGACAGAGAAGCTACTCACGTAATTTGTTAATAACAGGAAGAAGTCTACCCCATGTGTGCAAATACTCAGCTCTGAATCCATCCAAGGAAAACAACAACAGTGGAGGTTTTGAAAACCTGAGCAATTAGAAATGAGACAGTTAAAGGCAAGAATTTATTAGCTGTTCACTCTTTCTCCAAGTACTCTTTACGCCCCTTTGGGTGCTCTCCCCTATGTGCTCATAAATAAGAGAGTGGGACCACACCCAATGACCCCACACATGCCATCAAGTCACTGCTGTCTACGGATAGAAGGGAAAGTCTGAAGAGGGGAGCCACTCTATATGCGTATGCTTCCCTGTGATCCAGGATCCTTTGAAAGGCCAGCAGAGACACAAAGGTGAGGGCAGAAGCCAGCAGCCCTCGGTCACCTGCTCCACAATTTGTTTGACACCTGAATAGGGTTAACAGGCACCAATCTCACCAATTCTAATTTTTAAAAGCCACACATTTAGATAAATTCAAGCTATACTTCCAAACCCTTTTGCATTGGGTGAAAAGACTGAACATCTAGACCACGGGTAGGCAAACTAAGGCCTGGGGGCCAGATCCAGCCCAATCGCCTTCTAAATCCAGCCTGCGGATGGTCCGGGAATCAGCATGTTTTTACATGAGTAGAATGTGTCCTTTTATTTAAAATGCATTTCTGGGTTATTTGTGAGGCCTGCCTGGTGTTTTTACAATGACAAAAAATGTGTGCTTTTATTTAAAATGCATTTAATGCATTTAATGCATTTAAAATGTATTTGTGGAACATAGGAATTCATTTTTGTTTTGTTTTTCAAAATATAGTCCAGCCCCCCCCCAAGGTCTGAGCGACAGTGGACCAGCCCCCTGCTGAAAAAGTTTGCTGACCCCTTATCTAGACGAAAGAGCGCTGAATACGTAGCAAGGAGCATAATGACATATGCTACAAAAAATGTTGCCGGGAGCCTAGCCAAAGGCAACTCTAGTGCAATAAATATGCTGGAAAGTTCATTTATCTCCTTGGTAACTACAATGAGTCCTTTCCATTTATTTGCTTCATAAAGTTAGTTTCCACATTTTAGAAAGAATGGTACCCACAAGGCACAGAAATCAAATAAATATAGAACAATAACATATTGTTAATTATAATTTAATAAATATATCCAAATATCTTATAATGCAAGTGGAAATGATATGTAAAAGCGTATAATTTAAACTAGGGTTATCATTATAAGTAATAAATATTGCAAGTACTAACTAGTAAAAAAAAATACATTCATACAGAAATCAGTCCCTGTAAAACCTTAATATTACAATACAATCACATTTATGGAGGGACAGCGAGGAGTGGTGATGGGGAATGGCATTCCTAAGGGTTGTCATTAAAGAGAATGGTAATCACTTGATGTTTATATAAGAGATGCTGTAATGAGCTCAGACTGGAGCCTGAAAGATTTAGGAAAAATGTCTGGGAAACCTGTGGAACTGGTTGGGCACTGGTTAAGCAAATTAATTAAAAGAATCTCGATCACTGGGGATCTGTAAGAACAGGATTCAAAAATAAGAGATTGCATTAGTTTTGATGGACTTGACACATTTAGCTAAAATAGTTGGGTGATCTTTTAAGTTTACCTAGGTATTCACTCTATACCAAAGTTCCCTCTATTGGAGAGGAGCATTTAATAAGATAGAGATGCTTTAGGCAGGTTTTCTGCTGCTAGGAGTGGATTTGGCTTGATGATCCACCTCTCTAAGTCAAATGTAGTGATGAAATGTACCAACGTTTTCTGAAGAAAGTGTGAACGGAGTTCTGTACTTTTCTTATGAGCGGATGTATCATCTGAGCTTCACCAAATCTGTTCTAAACCTGTCATCTCAAAAAAATGGGCACAAAACACAAACCAAGGCTGAGAGAATATCCTTGGGATTGGGGTTAAGTACCCAGAATTCTCATATTTCTATAAGAATGTTGTGCATTTACTTTTCAGCAGGCAGCTGATTGTCTTCTGTTTAGTTTTTAGCCATCATTCCTTTTCTCCTTTGCAAGTTGGATAGCACCTCCACACACATGCTCTTTGTTCCATACTAGAGTTTATTTTATAGTCAATGAAACATCTAAATAGCAGCATATTTTATCATGGCAAGGCTGCTCTCTGAAGCACATTTGGTGGGAGGTAAGATTCATCAATGGCTATTAGCCATGATAGTTATGGTGCCAGAAGTGGAGTGTCTTGAATACTAGCTGCTGGGAATCACAAATGGGGAGGGAGGACTGGGCTTATGTCCTGCTTATGGACAACCCAGAGATACCTGGTTGGCCACTGGGAGAAAAGGAGGCTGGACAAGATGGTCCTTTGGTCTGATCAGCAAGGTTCTTTTAATGTGCCACTGAAATTAGTAGGACTTTTGAGAAAAATGGCTAAGCGTGAAGTGTTAGTTTACTCTCTCTCTCTCTATATATATATATATATAAAATCTTTTTAAGTTATATTCCCCAGGCAGCATAAGAGCTTCAAATCAATGCTTAGTGCCAATTTTTTAACTGAATGAAATGTCTAGCCAATTTAAAATAACAGGTTGGGAAGTAACTTGTTTCTTTTTGCAAATTGTCTTCTGGTTTGGCATTGGCAAGAAAAACCTCAGGTTAAATATAGTACGCTACTCATCCAAACTGTTTCCCCTTTGGTCATATGTCAATCAGTTTGCCTCATATAAGTGACCGTTATGTCCAAGAAGATTGACAGCTTTGCCTTGTTTACAATGTTCACAAACATTGAGAATGCATCCAGACAAAACACCAGGATTCTCCATTCCACAAAAAGAGGCAAAGCAAAACTCCAGCCAAGTCTTATCAAATTGCACTACCTTGCTCCACAAGAGGACAATGATTTTTCCAACACTGAGTGGACTTGGGTTAGCTGCTGTCACTGAGAACATGCATGCACCTGCCACCAGACTTGTAAATAGGAGGTGCACTCCAGGAAATACATTTGATGGCTGAAAAACACTAGCCTTGGCAACTTTGAAAATTAGCAACTGTGAGGATATGTGATTGCTTTTAAATGTTCTTAGATATTCTAAATATTTTTAAATATTTTTAGATATTTTAAAAATTGTTTTGAAATATTTCATTTGGTCTTTAAATTGTTTTAAATTTATTTTGTTTTGCTTTAAATTGTATTGTTTTGACTTTTTTATGTTTGCCACCCTGGGCTCATTTGGGATGAAGAGTGGGATGGGAATTCATTGAATATTTATTTTAACTGGCTATAGCATTTAAACTGGCCCACATCATATGCCGAGAAGGGCAAAACACCTCCAAATGTGATACTGTTTCCTTCTCGGCTGCTCTTTTGATTCTCAGTAGGTAAGATCCAGTCCAAGTTATATATATTCAGGCAACAATCCTATATGCACTTACTTGGGCATAAGTCCCCTTGAACAAAGTGAGACTTGCCCCACTAGAATTCCAACTGGAATCCATGGGATTAATGTGCTTAACTTTAGCTGGGTCTCTCCCACTAACATTTGTGTTGATGCTTGTGGGAGCAAGGACTAATTCTAGTTGGAGCACCAAAAGTCTGAATACAACCAGTCTGGGCCAAGCCTTATGATGAACAGCTCAATCATAATCTCATTAAAAACCTTTGGAAAACTGGGAAAGGATCAGTCTGGAAGAATGGTTTAAAGCATAGGTGGCAGTTCATTAATGGCTGTTCAGATGTCCAACTCCCATCAGCCTCAGTGAACATGAATCTGGGCCAGGAAATGAACAGGGAGCCAATGCCAAGGGTAATATATATGAAGAGAGAAACTTATGGCAGGAAGGATGGCAGGGATGAGAGAATGTGACACCTTCAGATGTTGCTGCACAACCGCTACAGAAAGATTTACAGTGCCACAACACCCTCTCTTTTTTAGAAAGATGCAAAAGATATACAGATTCTTACCCTTCTGGGCACTGGGGTTCATTTAAGTCCTCACATTTTTCTTCAAGCCAGCTTGTCCTTCCTTATTTTCAAAAAGAAGGATATCAGTATATTATTCAATTGTTAGTAGCATTCTATTACGTGAAAGGGGAAAACTGACTTGATATGCAAGTATGGGAAGTTAAAAGCAATGCATTTCCTGACATTGAAACCCATCAACATGGTCATTTAATGCCTTAAAAAAAAAGTAGGGGTACAACTTCTAGGAACTCATTCTAAGATATAGGTTGGGAGCCAAAGAACTGAGGGATTGGGTCTTCTGTTTCTTGAAGAAGCTGCCTGTCAGGACTGGTCGTTGTCCTCTTCAGATCACCACAGAAACGCTTCTTGTTCTTCTATAAAACTTTTTATTGCGTATTAACAAAACATTCTTATAAACAGTTCTTAACTATTATTCCTCAGAGTCACTTCTTTCAGATACCTTCTGAGCTCTGCTTCACCATGACCAGCCACTCTCAAAATGGCGAAGGCACCTTTCCCTTCACTTTCCCGCTCTTTTTTCTAACCTCCTGGCTAGAGCTGGCTTGTATCTCCCCTCCTCCGAATCTGAGCTAGAACTTAACCCTTGCCTTTCCTGTGAACAGCCGGTCCCTCCCTGTTGTTCCTCTTGCTCCCTTCTATTAGATTCACTGCTCTCCTCCCCCCCTTGGGGAATGCTTTCTCCCTCTGATAAACTGAAAACCTCTAACTCTATGTTGCCCTCCCCCCACTCACCTACCCACTGGTCCGTCACATTGCTGCTGCTTATCTGGAGGTTGACAGGAAGGGCCAAGCAACAGGGAGCTTGGCATGGCACAAATGCACCAGCAGGAATGTCAGATTGGTTCTGCAGGTGTGTTTGTACTGCAGTGACCTCACCACTATCTTCCACTCTATCTCCTAGTAAGTAGCAGAGATGTGCTCAACTGGAGGTCAGGAGAAGTGGTGGTGTCCCATCTGCTACTGAAGCTGTCCCCATACCCCATAAAAAGTGCCCCCCCAAAGGAGTTTAAAGCAATTTAAGATATATAATGGGATCCGCAGTTCTTTTTTATAAAAAAGTTTTAAAACAAAAATAATAATCGTGTGGGAGTGTGCACCTAAGCTACATCTTGTATCTCAACCCTAAATACTTATAATAGCAGAAAAGGTCATTTTGAATATTGACAGCATTTCTTTTTAACCCCCCTCCCCTGAGATACCGTATTTTTCGCACCATAGGACGCACTTTTTCCCTCCTAAAAAGCAAGGGAAAATGTGTGTGCGTCCTATGGAGCGAATGCAGGGGGGGAGGCAGGCGGGAAAAGCCCCCCAAGAGCCGCACACAAGCTCCGTGCGCTCTTGCGGGCTTTTCCACAGGAGGGAGAAGGGTCTGACTGGCCACATCAGTCCCTTCTCCCACCTCCCAGGAAAGCCAGGAGAAGCCGCGATCTCTTTAAAGGAGTTGCGCGGCTTCTGCGGGCTTTTGCGAGAGGTGAGGGAATCCCCCCACCTCCCAGGTAAGCCAGAAGAAGCCGTGCAGCCCTTTTAAAGTGCGCGCAGCTTCTGCCGGTTTTGCGGGAGGTGGGGGAATTCCCCCACCTCCCAGAAAAGCCAGGAGAAGCCGCGCAGCCCCTTTAAAGAGCTCACGGCTTCTGCGGGCTTTTGCGAGAGGTGAGGGAATCCCCCCCTCCCAGGAAAGCCAGAAGAAGCCGTGCAGCCCTTTTAAAGTGCGCGCGGCTTCTGCCGGTTTTGCGGGAGGTGGGGGAATTCCCCCACCTCCCAGAAAAGCCAGGAAAGCCCTGCGCAGCGTCTCCCGGCAAGGGGAGGCTGCGCGCGGCTAAAGGGGAAGGCAAAACAGCGAGCGGGATCCATCCCGCTCGCTGCCTTGCCTTCTTCCATAGCTGCGCGCAACCCCCCGCAAGGAGACGCTGCGCGCGGCTAAAGGGGAAGGCAAAACAGCGAGCGGGATCCATCCCGCTCACTGCCTTGCCTTCTTCCATAGCTGCGCGCAACCCCTCCGCAAGGAGACGCTGCGCGCGGCTAAAGGGGAAGGCAAAACAGCGAGCGGGATCCATCCCGCTCGCTGCCTTGCCTTCTTCCATAGCTGCGCGCAACCCCTCCGCAAGGAGACGCTGCGCGCGGCTAAAGGGGAAGGCAAAACAGCAAGCGGGATCCATCCCGCTTGCTGCCTTGCCTTCTTCCATAGCTGCGCGCAACCCCCCCAAGGAGACGCTGCGCGCGGCTAAAGGGGAAGGCAAAACAGCGAGCGGGATCCATCCCGCTCGCTGCCTTGCCTTCTTCTATAGCTGCGCGCAACCCCTCCGCAAGGAGAGGCTGCGCGCGGCTAAAGGGGAAGGCAAAACAGCGAGCGGGATCCATCCCGCTCGCTGCCTTGCCTTCTTCCATAGCTGCGCGCAACCCCTCCGCAAGGAGACGCTGCGCGCGGCTAAAGGGGAAGGCAAAACAGCGAGTGGGATCCATCCCGCTCGCTGCCTTGCCTTCTTCCATAGCTGCGCGCAACCCCCCGCAAGGAGAGGCTGCACGGGGCTATGGCTTCTTTAGCCCTGCGCAGCGTCTCCCGGCAAGGAGAGGCTGCATGGGGCTAAAGGGGAAGCCAAAACTTGGCTTGCTGCATAGCTGCGCGCAACCCCTCCGGCAGGGAGAGGTTGTGCGCACCCTGTACGCTGCTCTTTGGGGCTGGGGGGGGGAAAGATTTTTTTCTTGATTTCCCCCCCTAAAAACTGGGTGCGCCCTATGGTCCGGTGCGCCCTATGGTGCGAAAAATACGGTAATAAACTGTAATCTTCAAAGTGCTTATTCCAGCATAGCTGGCATGATGGCTGCTGCTTCCCATATTATTATTATTATTATTATTATTATTATTATTATTATTATTACTATTAGCAGCAGCAGCAGCAGCAGCAGCAGCAGCAGCAGCAGCTATAGGAGCAGTCTTGGGACTGCTGCACCTTCAAACTCTGCTGCTCAAGCTATTTTTCTCTTAGCCCAATGCAGCTACTGCTGGTGAGTCAGACCATGAAAAGTGGCTGAAACAATGAAACACATGACAGAAAGGTAGGGATGATGGAAAGTTCATCTGCCGCCACCCATGCTCCCCATTTGAGGCGAAAATCAAATGCTTCATCAAAAGTCCCTGTTCTATATGTGAATGGCGGAGACCTGTGAGTGACAAAATGATTTGGTTGGCCCCATTACATCTAGTCTGGTCCTGGTGGGGAGGAGGAGGGAGTCAAGATTAAAAGGATTCTTCAGCTACACTTAATTGGTGGGATTGTGATTCTTGAGTGGCAGCCTCCAATGCCAAATAGCAAACCCATTTTTGAAGGAGAGAAGACAAAACCCAACAGAATGTGCCCAAATCCTTTGGGCAATTCCTAAGATTGCCAGAATGCTGTTGTGGAGTCTGTGGCAGCCCTAGATCAGGAAGAACCAGAATAGACTCCAGATGGAGCCTGCCTGAATCTCCTGAATATTGGGCATAATCTGCCACACTTACTTATTGTTTTTCAAGCACAGGCTACCTGACATAAGAGTTGTTGTTGTTTGCCCCCATAAAGTGTCTACGTGCTTGACAACTGCAAGTATGGGAACAGTAGCTCTTTGGATCTCAGCTAAGGATAGGTTTCCTTAGATTTTTCAAATCAAAGCAGCTATCAGTACTTTGACCAAGTAGAGCAAATAACCCAGTCCAATACTTCCCCCTTTCACAGCTTTTAACCAGTCAGCGATAAAACAAACATAATATTTTACCTTCACACACTGAGTAATAATTGACACAGCAGTTGTTATTTTTCACACAGTCTTCTGAACAGGAGCAGAGGTACTCTGGCCGGTTCTTCTCCCCACACCGAAATTTGGTACAGTTCCATATATGAGCTGCAAATGCATGGAACCCACCCCACTTTTAGTTAATTATGGCTGAACTGGGTATTGCGTAGAAGGATATCTGAATGCAATTTTATGGGTACAAATCAAAGGAGGCATCGTTTCTTTACTGGCACTTTTGTAGATGTTGCCTTTATAAAAGCTAGTCATTTTAATATCTTCTCCATATGTCTAACTCCAGGTTTGGGGTTGTTGGCAAGGTGCCCCCTATGGAAACCTCCATGTCTATGACCCCCCCCCAATCCCTAGCAGCCTTAACTAGCAGATGGGGGCCTGGGTACATAGTAGTAGGAGTCACCACCTCTGCTACCATTGGTGGGCAACCAACACCAAAAGAAGAGTGCCACCTTCTATGCTATTCTGACTCCTGCAGCCTGTTTAATTTGTTTTCATTTGACTTCCAGCCCTCCACTGACTATCAGGAAAGAAAGAAAACAATATGGGGCTGCGGAACCCAGAGTAGTACAAGGCAACCATGCTTTTCTTCCATTGCCAGCACAGGCAGCACAGAGTAGCACAGACAGCAGCTCCTCCCCACTCATCATCTTCTCCACTCCTTGCCCAGAAAATGCTTCCTCTTTGCCTATCCACCTTGCAGCTTAGAAGAGCCACTGCCTGCATTCCTCTGGGGAAGATGGGGGTGGCAGAACTATCAGCAGGAAGCAACTGTGCAGTACAACAACTCATGTTACTTTGAGCAGGCAGGCAGCTACAGTGGAAGCAGTCAACAGAGAAGCACCACTCTTTGCACTACTCTGGGCTCCCCGGAGCCTTACTTCTTTTACTTGTTCCCAGCACTCAGTGGAGCACCAAGAAGGAGAAAAACGAAGAGCCCCAGAATGGTGCAGCTGACTCCTGCAGAGGAGTGCCAGGGGCTGCTATTTTAGTTCTCCACAATGCCCCTGACATTGCATCACTGTAATTCCTGGATTAGCAGAGTGCTGCTTCAAAAAAGAAAGAAGAAACAAATAAAGAGGAGCTCTGGAACAGGAAAATCATTGTGGCTTTGGTGTTTCCTATGCCAGGCCTGATATCCATACAATTCTAAATTCCTGAAACATGACAGAAAAAAAGTGTTAAACTGCCTTTATGGTTTAGCTCCCTTTCAAGTCAGGAAACAACTTCCTATTCATGCTGAGAACAAAACCACTACACCTTGCTGATCTGGCATCAGTCTGAATTATCAGTAAAAACAAAACAAAAAACAACAACATTAAATTTGTATTAGTTTTCATGCATCCCCACTGACCTTCACAGAACTGCTAGGTGAAACTTAGCAAAGTAGTCATGACCCATAGGATTTCATGGTGGGAAGAAGGTATGACATTAATAGGATACAGTAATACCTCGGTTTACAAACTTAATCCATTCCGGAAGTCTGTTCTTAAACCAAAACTGTACTCAAACCAAGGCACACTTTCCCTAATGAGGCTCCCGCCGCCGGTGCCCTTCCACCGTTCAGATTCCGTTCTTAGACTGAGGTAAAGTTTGCAAACTGGGATACTACTTCCGGTTTTGCGAAGTTCATAAACCGAATAGTTCTTAAACAGGGTTGTTCTTAAACCGAGAAACCAATGTATAGTGTTTTCTGTGAGTCAAGTATTAGGGCCGAGTTAGGCATTGAGTGGCAAATTTCTGGAAACATCAGATGAGTTGGCAGTGGTGAGGCATGTTTTGAAGGGAGAAATCAGAAGCCAGATGCTTGCCTGAAACCTGTTCAGCCATTTCAAAAACATATATGGGAACCACAGGTGGTGCGAAATAGCTCAGAGGAGAGGACTTAAGGGGGAAAGTAATAGGCAGGAGAGAGAACTCAGCACACCTTTCTTCCCCATCTACCACTCCTACCTTCCAGTTCATTCCCTCTACCACTAATCTTTAGATATTCTGCAGGGACCCGCAATACAGGGACATCTGACCTAGTCCTTGTATGCAGTAATTGAGTTGTTTTGCCTGCAGAAGGCTCTGTCATTTTCTAAAATGTCTAAGCACTTTCATGGAACAGCATCAATAACTGGTGCAGTCTTAGAAGCAGCATTTTGTTTAGGAAAAATGCAGAGTGTTTTAATCAGACTATGATGGTTTGAAATGGCAATGGGACAGCTGTAACAGGACAGCAGCTGGTTCGTGTCTCCCAGCTCACCCACATGCTAAGCTGCTTCAAGAACGGGAACAAATTTTATACAAAAAAGTGATGCTTACCCGGTTCTATACAGGCTTCTTGGAAATCTAAACAGCAGTTTCCAAGTTTAACACATTCTTTGTCGCAGCGGCAACTTCCAAATGTTCTCTCATAGCAACGGCCTTTGCAGGTTTTGACTGAAATGGTTCATATTTACTTGATGTTAGCAATTGAACATTGATACTACATTAATTAGCATTTCATCATGGACCCAGGAGTAAATTTGCATGAAAAAATAGATCCCCTTCACTAATTCTTAGTCTTACAAAAAGTACTGTGGGAATTGTGCATGGATGGCGAGCAATCTGCAAAGAAATACATGAGGGGCAGACATGAGCCAACAGGCTTCCACTGCAACTAATAGAGATTGTGGAGCAATACTGCTATTTTGATTAGCCCCATTAGTTTTTCTTCCTCACCAGAAAATTTAGCTCAATGGATCTGTGCAGAAGCAACAGAATATGCCATTTCTACCAGTGATAATCCACAACTGAAAGCAGAGCTCAAATGATGTCCCTGGGCTCTGCACTGGCCTAGAAGTAGGAAAATTGTTAGATCTGCTGACTAAAACGTCTCCTTCATGTGACACACATAAATATTTCTACCCATGCAATTCCTCAAACAGCTCATTTAGCATACAATGCAAGTTTGGTATGTTTGCCTTTTCTGCAGTATGTTAAGTGTACCATTGGCAAAACAATGTGGAAGCCTTTGCATGAAACATAACCAACATGAGAACCACAGCTATAAACACAATGGATTAGTCACTGTACATGGGCTCTGTGGAAAGGGACTTTATAGGATGGCAGTCTGACTTTCACTTGCCTTTGAGTGGAATTTAATGTCATGCAATTATGATTGTTCCATAAATGCAAGCATTTCTGCTTGCCCGATGGAACAAGCTCTCCTCCCCTACTTCTGTGTGGTCCTGGGGGTTCTTCCAACCCCCCGAGCCAATTTGGGGGCACAGAGCAAGGGGGGAAAGCCTCATTGCTCTAGCAGGACTCATTGTACTCATTCCCACAAGTGCACCTATCTGATTGAATCCCTCATTTAATTAACTAAGATTTCCTTAACTGGGTGACAGGCCTAATAAAAACTTTATCATTTGCATTTATAATTTGTATTATGACAAGACTGTTACAGAAATTTTATGACAAATGGAAAGATTCATAAATGGGAAAATGGGCAGAACCAATAATGGATGCTGTGTACCTAATGAATGCAAGGTGAACCTTTTATATCTAAACAAACTCAGCTACTTATATTAGCATTCTTCATTACTTACCATCTCTTGTACAGCTAGGTTTCAACCCAAATATACATCCCAGGATTGTTGTTAGCACAATGACACATAATACCTAGAACAGAAGAGATAATAGCATTCAATTTATATATACTTATTACACCAATTGACATTGCTTATCTTCACTCATGCAAACAGAAGTAGTGCTTTTAATTACTTTTACTTGAAATGAAGCTGGCCCTGGTGACTCCAACACAATCGTTCCAAGAGCGGATTTAATTAACTACAAATGAATGCTTGATGATGAAGATTTTCAGAGTGAATTCAAATTGCAGCTGACAGAAGTTGCACAATTCTGCCCAGTCTATGCGATCACAGCTCTGACATGTTGTCATCATGTGTACAACACATGTTTACTGTACACTGTGCAGAACAACACACAGGGCACACATTAAATATGTTCTTTGGAAGTTCTTAATCAACCAAGAGGGTAAACAGCAATCAATCAACATCCCCCAAAATTATACTACACTGTGAAGTTAAAGCAGAATTAGGGCAGTGATACAAGAAACCAACCTATTCTATATGTTCAGCTAGAACTTCATGTTACATATCTCATGGAACATGACAGCCAGGCATTTAATTTGTCCCACCATAGCATCTAGGACAGCTTAGTTATGTTGTTATATGCTCTTCCCCACATCTAATGCATAATTGGGTGGAATTGGGAATGGGTGTGGAAGCAAAGCAGGTGCCATAATTGTAAGTACTACAGGCCCAGGGATGTAAGAAGACAGCTATTCCCATTCAATCCTTTCGATCCTCATTCTGACTTGTCTTCATCACAATCAGTGTTGTTTCCGTTCTGCTGCACTTCAATTTCTACCAAACAGTCTGTTATTCATCTCACTGTTCATTCATTTTCTTGAAAGCAAATGCAGTTTAAATGCAGAAAAAGTCGTCGATTCAGTTTCATTTGCAGGCTAGGGGTGATGGGTGGGGACCAGTGCTGGATTGGTTTCTGTTCCTGACATAGGGCAAAATAAGTGAACAATGAAAATTTCTGCTTCTGTTTACATCAGGATTATCTGGCATACCTAAGCCACAATGTAGCAACCATAGAACAATTACAGCTGCCTTCTCTTCACAAACACTAAGATTGTGGACACCAAGAGGAGCCTTGCATGCACACAACTTCTCCAGCTGTGCTAAAGTTTTAATGTTGTCACTTCACATGAATAGAAGAGGGTTATTATGCTCTTTTTCTCTCCTGGGTGCCATCTGGTATCTGTTGTGGTGCAGGCAAAGGATGAAAGTTAAGTCACATCTTGGGGTTTTTCCCAGCATCACAGAAAAGTTCTAATTACATCAGAATAGGAAAACTGCACATTTCTGAGCACGGTCCAACAGAGCTGCTCCAGTGAAAGTTCCACTTAAATGGAGGGAAATGTCACAAGAGCAGAACATTGATGGATGGTGCCAAATGTGGTAAATGTTCTAAGAGAAATAATAATTTATTTGTTTTTATTATAAATAGAGGCTTCTTTCTAAAGGGATAAGAGCATAGAACGGTTTTCAGATTGTCTTTCTGAAAAACAAGAAGGCAAAATTGGTACATTTAGAATTCAGCTACTGGTAGCAAGAGTAAAAACCTCAAACCTCAGACGGTTTACTAAAAACCGGACAATGCCTAAATACCACCATGCCACCTCTCTAAATGCCACAGCTGAATAGTTTCACATTACAAGTGGATATAACTCATCTAAATGAGTAGTCCTCATAATATCATCATGGTTGGTAGAGAGAGGATGATTCCCTTCCTGTGGTGAGGAAGTCTTACAGAAATGATAATGTTACTTCTGAGCTGCACTGATTCATGTCATTTTGGGTTCTCATGCAAGCCACACACAGGCAAGTTCACAGCACCACAAACCTCAGAACATTACAAAAATATTCATGTGTTTACAACAAGTGCATAGTACCTAGAACTTGGAAATGTTGAGCCATATGATTAGCAAGAACATCCCAGTGATTTCAACAGAACAAATCAAACTGGAAGATGAACATTTATGAAAATGATCCATAACCATTCATTTTATTGAATACACAGTACAATTAATTTTTAGTAAACAAACAGTATGAGTATCTGATGTGATACAGTAGTCCTATTTGGGGTTACAATTGTAAGTTACTGTATCAATAATGTTTCCCATAACAATATACCGGTACCAACAACCACTTTCAGTAGGGTGGCACTTTTACACTGACCCAGCACTCACCACAAGCAAAATTAGGTTGTGGATGCCAACTTTCAAAGAATAAGATGAAGCTCAATCACGTTTCACTTTGCTTCCATGCATCTCCAAAGAACAACATGGTCCTAGTCCAAGTACCACTTGAAGATGCTATAGAGAAGGAATGGCCACAAACTATGCACACTTCTTAGTCTTTGATGAATTTCCTTCCCTTCTAATTATGTTGTTGTTGTTGTTGTTGTTGTTGTTGTTGTTGTTGTTGTTGTTGTTTAGTCGTTTAGTTGTGTCCGACTCTTCGTGACCCCATGGACCAGAGCACGCCAGGCACTTCTGTCTTCCACTGCCTCCTGCAGTTTGGTCAAACTCATGTTGGTAGCTTCGAGAACACTGTCCAACCATCTCGTCCTTTGTCATCCCCTTCTCCTTGTGCCCTCAATCTTTCCTAGCATCAGGGTCTTTTCCAGGGAGTCTTCTCTTCTCATGAGGGGGCCAAAGTATTGGAGCCTCAGCTTCAGGATCTGTCCTTCCAGTGAGCACTCAGGGCTGATTTCCTTAAGAATGGATAGGTTTGTTCTTCTGGCAGTCCATGGGACTCTCAAGTCTCCTCCAGCACCATAATTCAAAAGCATCAATTCTTCGGCGATCAGCCTTCTTGATGGTCCAGCTCTCACTTCCATACATCACTACTGGGAAAACCATAGCTTTTACTATACGGACCTTTGTTGGCAAGGTGATGTCTCTGCTTTTTAAGATGCTGTCTAGGTTTGTCATTGCTTTTCTCCCCAGAAGCAGGCGTCTTTTAATTTTGTGGCTGCTGTCACCATCTGCAGTGATCATGGAGCCCAAGAAAGTAAAATCTCTCACTGCCTCTACTTATATTTTGTCCAATTTAACAAATATCCTATCCCTCATTTGTCACAGTTTTCCTACCCTCTCCCTAAGCCTGGGAAAAGTTAAGCAGCCTCTCTCAGCTAGTTTCTTCAAACAACTGAGCTCCATTCAAATGCACTAATCCAAATTGCTTTGGAGTTAGAAAGAAAAGTTGAAGAAAGATACCAAATCTTACTCTGAACATGTGTAAAAACGTTTGACTGCAGCTGGTGGAAAATGCAAAGCAATGATTTGGAGGGGGGAGCAATTAATTGGTTTTCAAAAAGTGTAATTTGACCTTTCCATTAATTGCAGCTTCCGATTTCATTCTTGAGCAGGAGAGTCACAATGATATATGGAACTTTGGAAGAAAAATTTAGACTTGGCTTTGGGGTTACGGAGAAAAGAAGAAAATGTTCTGGTTTATTCTGAGAGGTATTTTTGTGCTTGTTTATATTGGAACAAACAATTGTATTCAAGCCATGAGCTTTTGTCTCCTTAATGCTTCCTCTGTGTGGGAGGAAAACAGAAAGCATCACCTTGAAAACATTATAGGCAATGGCAGCAGGTGGTCAGATAAATGGGGAAACATTTTCTCATGCTAGACAATGAACACTAGGGCATAATAGTTTGGAAGATCTTCCAGATGAAAACCAATTAGACTATGAAAGCAACATGATTTTGGTCCTGATTTGCCCATGTTTGGTGTTCTGCAAATAAGCATTGTTAGAAGAAATTATGCAGTCCAAATGGTTTGAGGGTCCAAGTGTGTGTCAAGGCAGGCAAAACATTTGTGGTGGTGGTCATTACATCTTTTGTAATGTTAGTAAGGTGGTCCTAATATCTTTAAAAAACACACACACACACCTCAGAACAGAATAAAAAAAATTCCTTCCAGTAGCACCTTAGAGACCAACTAAGTTTGTTATTGGTATGAGCTTTTGTGTGCATGCACACTTCTTCAGATACACTGAAACAGAAGTCACCAGACCCTTATATATAGTGAGAGGGTGGGGAGGGGTATTACCTACGGGACCGCCTCTCCTGGTATGCCCCACAGAGAAACTTACGGTCTTCAAATAAAAACATCTTGAAGGTCCCAGGCCACAGAGAAGTTAGGCTGGCCTCAACTAGAGCCAGGGCTTTTTCGGCTGTGGCTCCGATCTGGTGGAACACTCTGTCACAAGAGACCAGGGCCCTGCGGGACTTGACATCTTTCCACAGGGCCTGCAAGACAGAGCTGTTCCACCAGGCCTTTGGCCAGGGCACAGCCTGACTCCCTCCCTCGGCAATCTTCACGGAGCTCTGGCCAAATGGCTGCCAGTGGCTTGAATTAATTAATTTTATAATGAATGATTTTAGAGTGTTGTTTATGCTGTACTTTTGTACTGTTTTATTGTTGTTAGCCGCCCTGAGCCCGGCTTTGGCTGGGGAGGGCAGGATATAAATAAAATTTATTATTATTTATTATTACTCAGGGGGAGGGGGGGAGCGGTATTACTCAGAAGGGTGGTGGGAATGGCTGATCGGTGTGGTAAGCTGATTGGCTGATAGGTGTGGTAAGCTTGTTGACAACTGTTAATGACTGCAATTGGTCTTACAGGAAAAAGCAAGGGGTGACCAATTGCAATTGTAAGACCAATTGCAGTAGTTGACCAAACTGTGGGAGGCAGTGGAAGACAGGAGTGCCTGGCGTGCTCTGGTGCATGGGGTCACAAAGCGTCGGTCACGACTAAACGTCTAAACAACAAGATTTAAAAGAAGCCAACCCAGTTGAATATCATTATTTCTTAAACATATTTTGTTTAGTACCTCTGAAATTGTTGACAATTTCACACAAATTATGCAAGCCTTCAGGATATTTCATGCAAAGCAGCCATTATCACCATAACACTAACATTGTTTCCTGTAATCTGTCACCTTGGAGAAATGCATAGTTACAAAAGAAGGTCTGTATACTTTGCAAAGATCCAGAAATAATGATTTCGTT